CACACACACACACTCACACATACGTGCAATCACACTCGCTCAAACGTCCCACTCCCACACCCACACCCACACCCACACCCCACTCTCACCCTCGCTATGTTTTTCTTTGTCTTTCTTCCTCCCACGACGCTGTCAACATAATAAACCTATACAGAAAACGAACTACCTTTTGTTCCCCCCCCCCTCAATGTACAGCTCCCGTTATTATTTTTTACCTTGACTCATGGTACACTCAGGCTAAATATGGAGGAGTGACCTTCCTTATTGAGGTGTAGTTGGGTGCCTGTGTCAATATACACCCGGATATAGAAGTCATTGAGAGAAAAACATCTTATTTTTGGTTCCTCTCTGAGCTTTGGTACGCGATCTCATCATTGAACTCATTCGCCCCAAGCAAGAAGTACAATGTAGTTAACTTCTTCACGGACTGTTCCTTGTGTTTGGATAACTTTCATCTACTGCGCTAAAATAATCTTTTTTTTTTCTTCACATTTTTTGTGTGTACTATTAGTTTTATCTGTTGTGAATATTTGATTCTTTTGTATTATGGAAGTCGGTTAGTTAGTTTTTTTCCTTTTTTAACCCGCTTCAAGCTGTAGGGTTTTTTTTTTTTTTTTGACCTTCCGGATACGCTAGAAGTATCAAGGTGTGCTCACGTGCTCGCCATTATGTGGTCTTCACATTATCGTGTTATATCTGCTGTGGTAGGTGAAAGATAACACAGTGTGTTCAGTAGCTCGGGCAGCAAACTGAAGAGAATGGATTCCTCTCAAAACGCCAGTGTGATACACGACTTTTCGCCTCTGTTTCTCATTGTGTTCGGATCTGGTGCTGGTTGACGACGATTTAAGAAGAAATATATCGATACTTGGAAGTGAAAGACGTACAAAGAACAAACTGAAAAACGGATAAACAAACACACAGACTAACGGACGGATAAAGAAACACACAAGCTAACGGACGGATAAACAAACAACAAACTAACGGAGGGATAAACGCACCCACAAACTAACGAAGGAATTCAAACAAGCGTACTGACGTTTTCCCGGTTTGTTCCTTTCTGAGTGTCGGGTCTGTGGAGACGTCTTGCGTTGTTGGAGGAGCCGTTAGTTGCTTGACGTGCCACCGCGGCATAAATTGTCGTGAGCCTCACACAGTGCCAGTGCCAGTGCCAGTGCGGAGTAGTAGTGTCACCTTGTCACAGGAATACGAACGTACGCACAGTGCGCACTCACTCTCACGAATACATTCATACACGTACACACGCACAAACGCACTTGCACACACGCATATACTCACATACGTATACACACACACACACACACACACACACACACACAC